GGGGTCTAGAAGGAATGCTGAGCACATGGTGCTGAATCAAAGGGGCTCTTTGTTCAAGGGTCTAATTACTGTAAGAATGATGTTACCTTACCAGGAGGAGGGTGTAGCTTAAAAAAGAAAATTGTTTTCCAGGGGGGAGGGAACTGAAGTTATTGTACATAAAGAAAATTACAATCATCCTCCTTACATATGCATGCTACTGGCAAAACTTAGCTAGAATTTGTAGAAATATCTAGTGCTAGGCTCTTGGCATGTACTGGCTAATTCCCCCATTTCATCCACCTAGAGCTTGATATTTCTGGCTAGTATTAGTAATAGTACTGGAGTCATGTAATGTACACACCAGCCAAGTTTGGGCCGTCAAATATAAACATAGTCCAGTACAATGCATACATGTACATGTACATACACATAGATTATTTTGAGATAGTTTTCCTGCTTGACGAGGAGGCACTAATACCGGTTAATTAGAATTGAAATCCATTTTCAATAATACATATTACTGAGCTACCACTAGGAGTTTCAAATATGTGGTCTGTCTGCGGTATACGGATATGCAGATGGTCATCTACACCAGTGGAGGAACGCTCCCGCATCATGCAAAAGATTGCTGACATCGTGGAGTTGCATCTGCCTGAGTTGGCCAAGGTTGAGTCACGTGACCAGGGCAAGCCAGTCTCATTGGCTACTCAGGTCGACATACCCCGGGTCGTGCTGAACTTCCGATTCTTCTCGACAGTGATACTTCACACAAACAACAGGTACATGGGAGACACCTGGAGCTTGAGAACAAATCATCACACTCATAATTCACAAATTGGGAAAGTAAATTTGGACTCCAGTACATGCCCCCTTTCATAAATTTTCAGTGGCCCAAAGGTGATCTCCAATAGGCTTTAATCTCCTTTTGCCCTTCAAAATGACTGGATGGTGAGAAAAAAACCCTCCCACAATCTGAACATACCCACACCCAATTTTAAACTGTGAAAATCCTGTTAATGCCTCCACCCGTACGATATCAGAAAGCTGAAAACTCTTTTGCCTCACTGAAGTTCAGAGCTTTGGAAGCCAACTATTCAGACGCCAAATTGCATGATGCAAGATTTCAAGTGGATGTGAGCAAGCAATCACATTAACCTAAAACATTCATGAAGTTGTATTGAGAAGGTTACATGTAATTCTTAATGTAAACCAAAAGGTCATTAAGATGGCTGACAAACATTGCAACACTTTCAACCCTGGCATTTGTATTTTCTCTCAGTTCCACCATGTTAGACAAAGTCAACGCCATCAACTACACGACACATGCACCGGTGGGTGTGGCCGGGCTCATCAGCCCCTGGAATCTGCCGCTGTACCTCCTGACCTTTAAGGTGGCCCCTTGCATCGCCTTTGGCAACACCTGTGTCTGTAAGCCCAGCGAGATGACTTCTGTGACTGCTTGGATACTGGCAAAGCTGCTCAACGAGGCAGGTCTGTGGCCTGATGGTACAGTCTGATGGCTTGGCTGAATGAGTATGACTGATAAAACTCTTGAGCTTTGGGTCAGAATCCAAGAGACTAACCTCTAGCTCAGTTAAAAGTTAATTGCAGAAAAGTCAAGATGCAAAAACTGTTTCAGTACACATGCATACAGTCAGTGGATATCCCAGGTTGGTAATCAGGTCAAATGAAGCTCTTCCCTTATTTCCAGGTCTTCCTCCAGGTGTTGTCAATTTTGTTTTTGGCACTGGTCCTCATGCCGGCCAGGCCTTGGTCCAGCATCCTGATGTTCCCCTTATATCCTTTACCGGCGGTACAGCAACTGCTGAACACATCATCAAGACTAGTGCACCTTACTGCAAAAAGCTCTCCCTGGAGGTAAAGAACAATGGGTCTGTCAGTTTGGAGAACTGAACACTCCAAAGGACTTTGGATTTTAAAGTGAGGTTTGGACAACAGAAGATGATTGTGCATGCATAATTTGTTTAGATTAGAGTTCAGAGAAAGACCTGATGTTGGAATTCAGTGGTTTATGGCGTATCATTCCAAGTTCATCCTCTCGCCTTTTCTCTCCCAGCTTGGAGGCAAGAATCCTGGTGTCGTCTTTGAGGATGCCGACTTTGAGAACTGCGTCCAGACCTGCGTGCGATCCAGCTTTGCCAATCAGGGGGAGATCTGCCTCTGTACCAGCCGAATCTTTGTCCAGGAGACTATCTTTGACAAGTTTGTGGAGCGTTTTGTCCAAGAAACAAGGTGCGTATGTCCCACCGCTTGTGAGAAGTTGCAGACATCAGCCCTATCTGTTGCCATCGCGGATTTCAAACAAGTGTAATGAATTTTGGTTAACTCCCCTCATTTGCACAGGAAGTTGAAAGTTGGCCCACCACAGGAACCTAGCTCCAACATGGGCGCCCTTATCAGCAAGGAACATCTGCAGAAGGTCAAAGGTTATGTGGCCATTGCCAGCCAAGATGGCGGGACAGTACTGTGCGGAGAAGGAAAGGAGATACTTGATCTTCCAGAGAAGAATAAAAATGTAACTCTACTGAGTGTGTGCAGGTTGTGGTAATTATCTTATTCATTACATGCAAAGAATGCTGGGAGTATCTGACAAATTATTCCGCCTATGTCGGTCTTGGGAATACATCACTATTTTCCATCACATGGTTTACAAAAATTGTAAGTTGTTTTATTTGAGCCCCTGTACCAATCTCTAAGAGGAAGCAGACATCTCAGCACTTGTAGAAGACTACTCTAGTCATCTTCAAAATATCTCTGTTCATGATTGTTTGAACAGTATTTTTTTGGTGACTGTTGTAGGGGTATTTCATGAGGCCCACCGTGATTGTCAACGTACCAGACAACTCACGGAGCATGCAGGAGGAGATCTTTGGTCCCGTCACTTGCATCAATAGCTTCAAGACAGAAGAAGAGGTCACTGCAAATTTCGAAATAATTGTTGAAGTCTGTTGCTACAGAAAACCTGAAAAAAGGAATGGCATCAGGCCTGTGTTCTTTGCTTGTGATTCTGTCAGAACACTTTATGTAGAAAAAAGTGATAAAGATTTACCGTCATTAGCCAATCTAAGAATACTGAGATGATAATGAGATGATAATGAGATGTTCAGAAGAAAATTATAAATAGGCACAAGGCTTCTTTACTGTCATGCAGATTTGAAAAGAGGTTTTCTTTGGTACATGCTGAAGTTCTTAATAGCAAGTCACACTTTGGAACGATTACGGTTGTGTAAAGTTTGTTGAATAGTCTCATGGTTTGTATAAGTGGGAGAAGAGATGCCACTATCACCAGCCTTTTTTGTTTGGGAGATGTGAGATTTTTTTTTCTCTGCACGGCAGGCGATTGAGAGAGCAAACAGTGTGAAGTATGGACTCGCGGCTTGTCTCTGGACACAGGATGTCAGTAAGGCACACCGAGTTGGCCAGAAACTCCAGGTATGTCTCCCGTTCATTTTGATTCTGGCTGTGTAGCTCGCTGTCATCTGCGAAACTGTTGTCACAAACCAAGCCATGTGTTTGTAGTGTGTGATCATTGTGATGTGATTTCAGATAATGGTTTCCACTGGACTAATCACGGAACTCCCCTACCGCAACCCAAATCTTTTAATTTGTTAGTACCTAAAAGGAGAGGCAACAGAGAGCTGACAGACCTGTTGTCACATCTTGCTCTGGTTTATTTTGTGTTGAGTCTGTCCGCATATTCACATTATCATCAGGTGGCTAAGATGGTTCTGAGATTCAACTCCGCTAGTCCATGGTAGTTTTCTTTTTACTAGCTATTCGAATTTCCCCTCTCCCCCCAAAAGGCTGGTACCGTTTGGACCAACTGTTGGCTTGTCCGTGACCTCAACATGCCCTTCGGTGGGACGAAAGCTTCTGGGATCGGACGAGAAGGTGCCACCTCTTCAAGGGAGTTTTACACGGATGAGAAGACTATTTGCATCAAGCTGTAAGGTTTTGTGGAACAAGAAGAAGGCCCGGCCTTACACCAATAGGGTGTCGCTCAGCGCATATTGGCAGACTTACTTTATAGCCAATTAGTTTTCTCTGGTGGTAAAGAGCTTTGTTCAAAGAGTGCATGTAGGTTGCCTTTTGGGCACAAAATCTGATGTTTATAACCTTGTTTAACCTTAGGAAGGGTAACCTGAGTCATTTCCTCATATCTTTACAGTAATTGTTTTGGTGTTCCTGGGCCATATGTTGGAGTAACTTTTGAGTGCTTTTTTATATTCCAAATAATGGCTTTATTTACAAACCTTACTTTTTTGTCAGCAACATGGCAACAATAATGTAACATAATCTCTGTACATATTCATATGACCTTTTCATGTTACTTAGGAAAAGGTCAAAGTGTGCCAAAAGTCCTCCTCAACTACTCAAGTCAAATCCTTAACAAAAGTAATCTCCAGTTTTATTGAGTTAACATGGTTGTTGGATTGCTTTTCTTTGAAATTTCAAGTGCTATGCATATGTAGCGGCAAATTGTGCTGGTGACTGGAACATTAAACACTACCAGATTGTAAGCATTGACATCTGATTTGTGTTATCACCAACCTCTTGAAAGTACTCCCTGCTCTGCATGACTGCGGATCGTCAAAGTGAGCACAACTTTCTTCCTTTTGTTGATTCTAACTGCATTTTTGGAAAAAATCTGTTTTCATACTTTTCAAATCTGTCTTGCCTGAAGGATATTTTTTAATCATTAGTGGATATATTCCATTAAATATTTTGGGATTTGTTTGTATTTGTGATTTCCATCTGCAGTTTTCTTTCATACTGGTCATCATGGTTGAACAAAACGGAGGTACCGTATAGACATTTTAAGTTATGGAGGTACTCAAGAACAATCTATTCTCACGATGGGAATGAGATATGACCTTGAGGTACACGAAGAACTTTTCAAGTTACCAATTTTGAGTCGATGAGAATTTACCGTACATGGGGAATACATGTATTTGATATTTCAAATTGATCATCAAAAAATCTGATCTCGATGGACCTCACGTTGGGTACCAACTTTCACACGGGACCTCCAACATCAGCCCAGCCCCCTGTTGGAGATGAGAAGCTCACTTCGCATATGGAGATGAAACGAACATCATTATACTCAGAGAGAGCTCCTTAAAGAGAACGCATGTAGCATCACCAAAAAGGGAATCGACACAAATATGAACGAGCTAATGGGCGCTAAACCAAACATTTTCCACTGATGTGGTTTTTATTTCAAACACAGAAAGTGTACAATTAAGAGATATAATTTTAACATACATGTATCAATATAATACCGTAAATAGATACGATACGTGTACAGTACCGCGGAATATTTCATCTATCTGACTGGCTGGCAAAAATACATTGTACACATTCATTTGGTTTACAATTTGGTACAAGTTTGGTACACTTCACAATTATCATCTCACACACACACAACACTGTCGAGATGTAGAAATATAAATAGTACAATACAGAAATTGGCAATGCTGCTCAACTTAATTGGGCTTTCCCTGTTTTTAGAATGTTTTGACACCCAAATCTACATGTGAACCCAGGTGATGAATTTCACGTACTTTGTAGACTTTTAACTTCCGATTTCACTGCATACATTGAGGTATTCATAAATCAGATATATTTATTGGACAAACTGTGTCTTTTCTATTGAAAATGCTAATTACAATTTTCCGTATGCCAAAGACGTGTATAACTGAACAAAATATAACTAAAACATCAAAGCACTTCCATTTTTTCTTTTTCCCAGTGTTATCGATAAACTTCTTTTTACCTTCATTTAAACTAAATTGAGTCTGAATCTTTCCTTTGGTACACACGTACAGTACATGTACAAATAATGTCACACCACAATAGTAATTTAAGTCCGAATGCTTTGAATACGTCAATGTACATGTATTTGTCTTATTTAGTTTGGCAGAAAAGGCAAGAACATTTCCAAAAACCATTGTTTGAATACCACAAAGATATGTAATGTGCATACAAGGCATGAAACTATAATTGAACTGGAAACCTGTCATAGGTCTACTTGAAGCATGCAGTGGCTACTTCAATTACGTATACTTTTTAACAGGAGGTTTTTATAGTTGGCCATAACTTTTTTTAATCAAGAAATTAGCAAAAGGCCGTCCAAAATGGACGTGGGAGCCCTCTACGCAGTTTTAAATCCACAGACAACCCTGATTTGGTTCCAATAAAAGCACTTGATACAATATTTTAAGGCCTACTTTGCAAAGCTTAACTCCTAATGACTGCATTTCCATCAAAAGAATTTGATGCATACCCTGTTTGTATGATGTCGTTTTTTAACTTTGAAGTTGTGAAACTTTATGCCAAGACCCAAACACGCAAATTTCGTTTCTTGTAACATCACAAATGAAAGCTAAATGGACATAATGTATGTGTAGGCATGCATGCCCCAAGTTACCGTATTAAATACTGCAGAATTTGTACCCCATACAAAATGTGTCATTGATACACCTGTATATTTGAAACTAAAATAATGTATGATCGTGGGATGGACTCCAACCCAACCTCCCAAAAGTTCCATTTTTCTGGGCCAAATATTCACTGCCCTGGACAGTGCTGACCAAAAAAGCAGGGAATCCTGTGATAGGTGGGAGTCCAGCCGTGGTTGTCTAGATTAATGAGATAAATACAATAGAATTTTACTCTTTTTAATACAGTAAAGAGAAGGAAAATGGAATTAAAAGGTCCTGCAGCCCCTGACCATCAGTTTGATTACCTGGATGCCCACCACTCAGCAAGCACACTCTTCTTGTTTGTATCGTTCAAAGCCAAAATATAAAGATTCAATTACTGAAAATGTGAAATAAACTGGCACACGTGCATACTTTATATACATCCAAACAAGATGCCTTGGATGTAGACATGTACAATAGATATATACAGTAGATTGGGTACGTGTTGTTAATGGCCACTACATGAACAAGTCATTACAAGGGACAGTTGAGTTGACATCAACATGTGCATCATTGTTGGGCTTCTTTTTCCCTTTGAAGAATCATTCTTTTGGGGAATTCAAAATTAATCTGTTGAACTTCAAAATTTTCAAAATGAATTCCCAATAGCCTTGTAGGGGAGAACATATTACGGCTTAGGATATTTTTCTCAGACAATTACAATGTAGTTGAGAAAAGTACATATGGCTCCCTGATAAACATTAATCGAATATTTCAGGTCGCAAGCTTTGGAGTACAATTTGGTGCCAATGGGGATGTGTACAATGTACATGTGGTATTATTCTGTTGTAAACTGGAGAAAAGGAATTACATGTAATTCGTACCATTTTCCTGGGAAGGGAATTTTCAAAAACGGCGTACAGGTTCCATATTCCATTGTGAAACAAAGCATCGCATAACTTACACTACCGGTGTGTACCAGTACATGTATACACAATTGCAGTTTCCCAGAAACTGTGTACGTAATCCTCCATTGTCAAACAAAGGAAAACATATCTTTTTTTCCCACAATTGTCCCCAACGACAATCGTTTTTGTAAGAACACACACACACAAAATAAACGACAATAAATAGGGCAAAATGCGGTTGAAGCTCAATAACTGACACTGCGGCTATTAATGAAAGACGGGGCATTTAGTTCTCTTTAAAACGTGGGAAATCAAAATGCACTGGGATGTCAAATAGCATATTTCATTTCACTGTGTCAAAATTAAATGGCTTATTTATCAATTACTGACCACAAGGCCAAAATTAATGGATGACCGGGTTCTAGAAACCCTTCAGTCCTACTCCTCCCTAATCAAAGGAAGGGACAAGTCTTTTCCCCCTACATTTCTGGCAAATTTCAAGCACCGACACATGAATATTATCGTATTTGCTATTACTACTTGTGACCTGCCTTTGTTCTTTATGGTGAAAAGAACAAGAACACTTAACACTACCGAGGGCTGTGCCAAGTCAAGACAAAAAGGACCTACTGTACTCTCAAGCTACCCCAATGTGGCTTTATAAAGTTATACACTATAAAAATATCAGTTACCTATTTAAGCTGTATAACAAAATTTATTTGACTTGTGTCTGTGACTTGGTAGAATCTATCAGTGATCTCCAACTACTGACGTGTTCAACCAATGTTGCCAATCATTATCAAAAAGCACACATAACTAACGAAAAACTCAAATATTGCACAAAGCTCTTTGGAATCTAAAACTGCATTTAAATCTGTACACTGACCTTTACAACAAGAGGCAGCCTGACAAGCGCTACACATTATCAACATTTTGATGACCTAGCTGCACTAGTGTATTACACTGCAAGGACAGAGGTATTTAACATGTATCATTTTAAATGATTCATTCACTAAGTAATCTCCACTGCAAAAACGACATGTACATGTAGGGCGCACGGATAATACTGTTTACTGAAGTCTGGAGCGAGAAGAGGATTCACCTTGTTACCATGGTTACATGTATCTCCTTAGTTGCGATCAGTAATATAACTAGAATTTGAATTTGTAACAGTACGTACATGTACCGGTATTTGAGTAAATTAAAAAAAACACTGTCCACAACTGAAAGACACTCCCTCAATATTCATGTGCGCTTTGATACAGCTTTGAGGGGGAAAGGCTTTTTCTTATTCCAGTGTTCCTACACCCCCCCCTTACATGTACATAAAAAAAATCACATCAAAGAAGTGGACAATCTTTAGAGATAATAATTCCACTGGTGCGGATTGCTTTGGTTTACAACTATTGCAGCAAAAGCAAGACACAAATCATTAAAGTTCAAGACCAAAAAATTCAAACATTCCACGGTAAAGGCAAATTATTAAATATCTACATGTAAGTAGATGAACAAAAAAAACAATTGACAAAAGCACAAAACAAAAAAATGTAGTACTTCTTCAAGATTCCAGTTTCAGACAGGTAGAATTCAGAAGCCTTCCATAAGATTTGGTATGTGTTTCCCTGCAAGGAATCCCTTGGGCTAACAAGGATGCAAGTACTAGGCATTGAAGAAAAAGCTGCCAAATCACACTTTTAGATCAAAATCACAGGGAACAGTGCTCCTGCCCATACCTTTAAGGTGCTAGCCCATGATCTAGAGATGCCCCTAATTTCAGAATACCTTTTTTGAACAAACCGTCAATGGCATCTTCTTAATTTGGACTTCTAGTATCTTTAGTGCCACGCTGCGACTTTGCTGAGGCGGTTCAGAAGTTTGACTGGCTACCTGTCATGACTGAGGATCCCTTTTAAAGGGCATCTCCCATGACATGACAACTCAGAGGGTTAGATGCTGTCGACTGTCGACTGCGATCACTTCCAATCAGAATTCCTGTCAGTGCAGCAAAGACCTCGATGAACCCCAGAATGACACCAAAGATGTCAAAACCAAAACAGACTCTCTGAAAGAGCCAAAGGCAATCCCGAGTCATTCTTCGGTTTGAAATATTACGGCCAAGGAGAGTAAGATATACACCATCTAGGAAAAACCCGGTTGGACAATTCCGTCTTTGCTCATCCATGCTAAAACTACAACAGCTCATTTGGGGCAGATGTCTTGACTAACAAAGGTGGTGTTCAAAAGGTTCCTAACAGATCTTCCAAACTTAAACAGGCATGTTTCGTTATCTGTGACATTCTGCTGCAAATACACTGTACAGACACACCCCAGTGATGCAAATGGGGTATGTAACATTATACACATATTTCGAAATACATGTACATGTAACTACAGATGTACTGTACTGAACCAAATGAGGGCACGTCGGATGTTCCTCCCACTGGCTGTCAGTTTTGCAGGGGGAGATATGTCTGGGTTTGACCAGAATCCAGGAAATACGTACTCGGGATATGTGGATTTTTCTACATGGCATGGTATTCTTAAAACTGAGGATTATTTTTCGAAATTTAAAAGACTGAGAATGCAGGACGTGTAAAATTTGAGGTTTGAGAGGGTGTGTTCAGGTGTTGTCACACTGGAATGCAATGAGAAAAATGTTGAACTGTGGGAGACTTGGTGTTAGATTGTTAAGAGTCAAGACTCGGCACAGCTTTCTAGCTCTGTCCGCATTTATGGGAAATATCACACACACCCAAAGTGACATCCAGTTGTCACTTTGAGTAATCAAAATAGCTCATAAAGTTATTGATCTCGGCACTGGTATTCTTTAGTTGACAACGGCCCCAAAATTGCAAGGACGGAAAGTTTTGTGGTTCAAAAGCCAGGTGGAAAACGAGGCGGCAAAGGGGAAGACGATATAGATGACTGCGATTTAATCGACAAGCAAGGATACTGCAGGTACAGTCTGTGCAATCAATTTGTTGAACATTCTGGTGGAGGCCCATCCCCCCCTTTTTTTTCTGTGTCCTCAAACCTTTCCCTGCCTTTGACATTAGAGATTCTACTTACCAGCTTGGAGGCCACCTCATCTCTGACGTACATGAAGGGGTACCCTTGGTGATACTCATGGATGGCACTGACGAGCATGAAACACATCATCAGCAGTGCCGCAAGCATAGCGATGAATGAACTCATCATGTACATGCGGATCTGTACCATTGGGCACACAAAAAATTTATATTTTAAAAGTTTGATCGCTTGTGGTCAGCACAACTGTTGGATGAGACTGCCTGTGTCCTGCTTGGGTATTGCGTGACCATACATGTATATCCCAGTTCACCTAAGACTGGTCAGCACTGCAGTAGGTAGGGGTTTAGTTCGTAATGACCACAGATCCCTTATCGTATGATGACCTCTTTTACTGTGTATGGTCGTAGTCATGTTATTCAACACTTTCAACGATGCATAATTTTCTTTGCAACAGAGGCTCCTTTGGTCAGAAGTGAACTTCCCTGCTTCAAGAACAACTATGAAATGCATAGGTTACCGTCCCATTGCTACCACCAAAGTGAACGCTCCCAACCTAAACGTATGTGGCTCTTTTCAACCAATGAGGTGGTGCTTCTGCTCAAGGCGGACGGACCTTATTCACAAGGATGTCATTTTTGATCATGTTCCTTGAACCTTTCTCATGTAATATAATCCAACAAATGGGATGGTGTCAAACTATTTGCGGTTCCATGCCTCACTGGAATGTTTTAAACAAAAGTTACTGAAAACATTTTGATAAATTGACAAATTAAATACGATAAATTTGAAATGATTATCTTAATGGGTAGCTGCAATCAATTTATTATAATACAAACCTTCAAACTGCACCTCTGTGTCTCAGCTAACCTTGTTCTCACTTTTTGTTTCACTATTTCCAAGGGTATTTTACTGCCATCTTGGTTCTTATGCGGGTAAGTGTTTCATATTCATGAGTAAAACTGTGATGTCATCCCAGGAAGATGCCGAAATATTACATTGGTTTGTACACAAAAAAGTCCTGCAATTTTGTAGATTTTTCAGGAGGCAGTTTTCTCTTCTGTGCTGACTCATTGTTGTGTATGTGCATAAAGCAAACATCAATTCCTTTCTCAGAAATGTTTTTTTAATTCAGTAAATCTTAGGTTCACAATATGAACAGAAAAGCCTGTGCACTGAACTATGAGCGTTTTCGAAATGAGTGGATCTGGCATAGACATCAGCTTTGCTGGTTCCAGTCAGAGCTTGTACATGTGGTTTTGAACGCTGCTTCAAAATGGCTAGAGCCAGCGAAACCAAACTCTAAGCCGAATCCACTCATTTAAAAAAAGCTCCATGTCTTCCCTTAATGACATCAAAGCAACAGCGCCCTCAATTGTCTAGGAAAGCATGGATAATTTTAATTGTTTCAAAAAGCGCATTTTTCAATGTATTTAACCAAGTGTGACACGCACTGTGAAAATGAGTCACAACTTATCAGGGCCACTTTTTGAGTTTTACATTGTATTAGATTGAGGAATTTCAGCTGTTTCAATGTGTCACTTAGTTTGGTACGATGAAAATGGATGTTGTGTAGAATTCAAATTGTTGAGGATTCCTGCTGCTTAAATACTATGCGAGATTCTTTCAAAGGCCTTTAACTCAAAAGTGGCCCTGGAGACAGGTGACTCAATTTCTTAGAGCAGGTCCCAAACAGGAATGTAGAATGAGTTTTCATACATTGAAGAATACAAAGTTGAAGAAAAATTGCGTCTAAGAAAAACTATTACAGGAATACTTAATGATTAAATTAAATGAAATTACTCCATAAAGATTATGAACTTTCCTTCATAACTTCCACTTTGGTTCCCCAAAATAAAGACGTTAACCTCGATTTCATGACTTTCAGTCCAATGTGGCCGCCTTGCGAATGGGGTTGATTCATTCAACTTGTGAACACCTGTAGGCTACTTGTTGCATGTAATGTAACACAATCTGTGGCCCCTGCAATGGTGATGCTAGCTTTCCATAACCTCCACGCCCACACATACATGTACATTCAGGATGGGGAAGGCGGGTAATTGAAAGACCCATATTTAGTCTAGCTCCTTGACTCCCTCCCCACCCACTACTGAAGTAAGATACATCCTCCCCAGATCAGACTGTAGAAGCCTCACCATTTTTGTTTTCTTGTTTCTGGACATCAATGCCATGACACCAGCCACAAAGAAACACTGGATAAATAAAAAGACACAGAAGATAACAGCTCATGGGATTGAAAGGAGGCAAGTTCAAGAATTCGCCAAGATTTAGGGCTGAAAATGGAAGCAATCAGTATCAATAAAATTATCAATACATTCTTTGTCCTTTTTTTTGTCCTTTCAAGGTGGGTGTCAACAGTACCCTTTTGAATTCCATGGAAAAAAACATTTCTGCTACGCTCAAAATAAAAACTGGAAGGAGCAGGACATTTCAGTAGATTCTCTTGTGGAGAAAAACATTATTTGTCAAGACCAGACACAATCTGCATATGAAGGTTTGAAGGTTTCCATGGTGGAGGTACACAGTTATTAAATGAAGGGTTGCAGTAGCACCGTGTACATCTCATCTTGAGGTTCTGAAGAGACATCAGTCACGGTTTCGAAAACCCAAATTATAAACAGATTCAGGTGTCATCACAAATCTCTGTCTTATAAACTACTTGGTTATTTACCGGAAATCCGCACCAAATGGGTGTGCCCATGACAGCAATGTTGCAGTAGCCGATCGTCGTGGTAACGATGCCATCGATGACACTGCATAGCGCTATGCTGAGCTGTAACACGCCCAGCCACTTGGCCAGCCGCACGTTGTAGTTGGGATTCTCAGGAGCCATGGAGTACATAGCCACAAAGTTGCCTAATGAAAAGAAAACAATCAAAAGTTGGAACTATCAACTGCCTTTAGAGGGACGTACAGAGCTGAGATTGGGGCCGTGGGCACAGTGCTTTCGGTGTGGGTGGCAGGCAAAGCACTAAACAGTATTACACTGACAACAGACAGTGCACTGTTTTCGTGTCAATTCAAAGGCATTTGCAAGAAAACTGGCAGTTACTTGTTACTTCTTTCCTCACCATGAGGGAGTCCACACATACAAGCAGACCTTACCCCTCAACAGCAGCACACCAGTAACAATGAACGGGCCAATTCGGAGGTGCGAGTAGTTTTGTAACAATGGCAATTATATTCTCCTTTCCCCGACCGATTTCTTTCTTAAGAATGCTCTCTTTGTAATATTCCCAATGTGTTGTGGGGGTGGGGGTAGAAGTGCTTCCTGCCCCTTGCCCAGGAGCTGCATACAGCATGCCTGTGAGGCTAGGATAAACACGTGTGAGGCAATGACACATACATGTATGCCCTTGGAATGGATAAAGAACGTGCCAGTGTGCCCAGAATTTGAGCAACTCCTGGTGATCAGCTCTCACTCTGAACCCTGCCACTGTACCGACGCACCTTGGTTGCTTATCTCTCCTTCGTCAGTCTCAGGAGGTAGCCTTTGAAACTCAATCACTGGCATCTCCAAGTTTCTCAGGGTGTCCGTGTGATGAATCGGAAGGGGGGGTGGACCAGTCTACATATCCTGAACCTTGGGTAGCTGAAGCTGAGGCAGGACTGTGTGCTGGTGAGACTTGATCGTCTTGTTGACAAGGTATCCTGGGCTCTGGATCAGACGGGCAATTTCTAAAACATTCCATGGATGTACATGTAAGTGTATCCAATAAGTCAATTTCTCACACCATCTTGCTTTCTTTGAAACCACATACTTAGGCATATTTTTGGTTTTGGGAGAAATACTTGTGGACTTTGTTTCAAACAAAATATCTAGCCATGATGTATATAGATTTTCTTAAGTGAATCCAGCGCCAGTTGCTGCAGACACAAGAATTCAAAGAATCCACCCACCATCTCAGACAAACCAACCATCTTTTTATAACAAAGGGACCTCCATTCTCCAGAGCTCCCAGACAAAATAAACCAATCATTTGTCTACATGGCACAGCCATCTGTTCCTTCCCCCATGGCAAATTACAAGTAAAGATGTCAAAAACTGGATTTTAATATTTTGATAAGCGAAACATTCATCAATCAGTCATGCAGTGTAATACACAAGTTTAATAGAAGGCTACTCTACTTTTCAATTTTCGTCCCTGTCTAAACATGGATATTAGTTGACTGCATCAGTTCATTCCAGATTGTTGAATGGGTGCCAAACAGTTGGGATCTATTTTGTCTAGGAACCAGACAGCAATAAACATGTTGCTCCCTACTGCTATTTACATGCGTCAGTGACTCCGTATCAGGCAACAGTGGACACCCGTGATAAAGCCTTGTGAACATGCAACGTCTATACAGCTGTCAGGTATTTGTATGAGTCGCCATGGGCGGAAATCCCGTGGGGACAGGGGTGACACATCCCCCCCCATGAATTTGGCACAGCGTGTAAAGGATGAGCAACACTGCATGAGTCAGTGGCACCATGCAGGCGGCAATGATTTCATACTCAGTCCCAAGCATTTCGGTTCACTTATCTTTGTTAAATAATACTATTGTTTGCCTTGCCCTGGGGACGTAAGTTTTATTGTTGTCTGGTTCTTGGACCAAAGAGATCCCAACTGTCACTGAAAGTGTTTATCGCCTGTTCAACAATCAGAAATGAACAGATGTACATGTAGGCCATAAACAAATGGACGTGTTGAGATGGCAAAAATAGATCTCAAATTTCATGGACGGATACATGAATTTATGACCAGGTCGGGTGAGTGAAGCCATATAAAAAAGGCAGTGTATACATATACGTGTACTTACCCAGCACCTGCAAAATTATATTTCCTGGGCAAATGTGCGGTAGCTGTTTTTCAGACTTAGAAATTCTTACCATGACAAATCTTAGTCTGGTTCTAAGCCACCACAGTTGATGCAACTAAGTATTCACAAAGGTAAGGAATGAGACATTATATAATTTCAGACTTTTTCCCTACAGAATGACAAAGAAAAAAGTACAAAACCCTGTAGCAGTCAAATTTAAACTAAGGCCAATGAAAGTTGATCGCATGGTTCCCGTCACTGCCTGAATGAAAGTTTTGGCTCGCATCAAAAGAGTTCATTGTTCACCTTTTTCCAAAAGCTCCGTCTGATTTCACGGTTCTCCTCACGGCGTCAGCACCCACATGCAAATTTCGGTCCACGTCAAAAAAGTTTACCATTCATTTTTTTAAAAGCGGTGTCAAGATTGTCAGTCTAAAAACCAAACGCTAGTGCTATTGTCCTGAATTGACGTCTTTGCCAATACGTCAAATGCGCTTGTTGATTTGGAAATGGTCAGGGTTGTGTGTCTCCATCCATATTGAATGCAAAATTAAATTGAGGGAGAAGAGACATTTTTTGGAAAAGCCAGTGAGGTTATGTGGGCGGAGTTAAATTATTCATGATTCATAACAGATGTATAGTATCATTTAGATGAACACTTTTGTGTGTACACATGAATGTGTGGTAGTATGAGTACAATCAAGTCACTGACAGGTAAAGGTACAGGGAGGAGCCAATTTTGATTGACAATAGGCACGCTGTCGCCGAAATGGCTAAAGCACATGTTGCATATGAAGGCGCTTGGCATGTGGCAGGAAACTAATCCATTGTATGAATGTAATGTAATGTATGTGGTTTGTGCACCAGGTAAATCGAGCCCTGGGTTCATCATTCATCAATGTTCATTGCCAATGTCTTGCTCTGGGGATCTATGTAATAACGCTGTCTTGTTCCCAGACCAAAAAGATCCCGACTGTGTTTGGCATCGGTTAGCGATCTGGAATTAGTCGCTGTAGTAAACGAATGGCCCAAATCGAAACCAAAATTTCGCGGACTTTTACGCATTGGAAATCGCCCAAAGTAATACATCAGAGTTTGATGGGGTGAGTGATCCATACATGCAAAAGGCCAATGGGGTTTCATAGAAGGCATTTTCGCTGAGTCCCCAATTTTTTAATGGACCACTGTGGGGCCTGGGAATAGGATATTGAGGAAGTCCAGTAGACTGGCCCCCAGTCTGGAGCTAGATCCTCTCCAAGATCAAGTCAAAAAGAAAACAGAAAACGAAGTTCAAAAATTTATGATGTAGACTGGTTGTACTTTGAGGCTTGACTAGTCGAAGTCCAACGTCACGAATGTCTAGACCCGTAAACCATTGCAAACACAGCCCTTCGTATAAATAATGGCATTGGTACAGTGTAAGGGCCGAGGCCTGTTTACCAAGACCATGCATCACCGATGCATGGTTTACGGGTCTAGAAAAATAAACGTCATGCATGTCACGCATAGGCCTACATCATGAACTGGCATGTCGCCAAATCAGGATTCTGTTCAATTTACCTTTTCCTGGCTACATTTTCAATTCGCTGATTAATTTGAGACAAGAACTCACGAACAAATAATTATACACTATCTATAGCTCAAAGTGGGAGGTAATACTTCTTCAACGGACGGTTTCAGCACCAAGTCCGCGATGGAACCTCCGATCTAGGTTCTCCAGGGTAGTCAATAAACAGTCTGGTGACGCTTCTCAAATAATAAACAGAAACCATTGTTGGCGCTTGGGTCCCCATCATAAATCGATAATAACACTAAAAAAAGAGGATCAAAAGAGGGCGTTCTTTTATTTAGTACTGGGAAAAATCAAGCAGCCCTCACCAGGCATGCCAGGAGTGGGACTAGCGATTTGAATGCAGAAAGCTTCAAGTTCAAACTGCCAGGCGTCTCTTGAAAGTGTGTGAATGACGCACTGTTCTTTCTTTTCATTTGGCAGGGGATATCCTTGGTCTGACCCAGAGTTAATGTCTGTGGTTGCAGCCTTACGCGTGTACTTGCGGTGGGTTGTGCGAGTTGAATTGATTATTTCCCCCATCATAGTCTTAGGTCGAATTCGGGCGGCTTGTTCTCGTATGTTCACTAAAAAGCTCGATTTCGTTGTTCGTGGGTCGGCCGCTCGAACGCCGGGAACAAACAACCGGTTAGTTAGTTAGTTAGTGACAAGCAACATGCAACATGGCGGCGTCCATGTAGGCTACGTTATTCGCGAGTTAATGTTTGGATGGGCTGAATTCTTTTCTATATAAACAGGAACATTCATTTCTGTGTTACGGAAAATCATTTTGCAAAACTTCCCATTGTCGATGGCTTTGGAAGCCATCTCTTTACTTTTTGCAGTTGTTCAAAAATCAAAATCTCACGNGCAATGTCATGCTCTGGGGATCTATGTAATAACGCTGTCTTGTTCCCAGACCAAAAAGATCCCGACTGTGTTTGGCATCGGTTAGCGATCTGGAATTAGTCGCTGTAGTAAACGAATGGCCCAAATCGAAACCAAAATTTCGCGGACTTTTACGCATTGGACATCGCTCAAAGTAATACATCAGAGTTTGATGGGGTGAGTGATCCATACATGCAAAAGGCCAATGGGGTTTCATAGAAGGCATTTTCGCTGAGTTCCCAATTTTTTAATGGACCATGGTGGGGCCTGGGAATAGGATATTGAGGAAGTCCAGTAGACTGGCCCCCAGTCTGGAGCTAGATCCTCTCCAAGATCAAGTCAAAAAGAAAACAGAAAACAAAGTTCAAAAATTTATGATCCTCCCTAGTTCAGTGTAGACTGGTTGTACTTTGAGGCTTAACTAGTCGAAGTCCAACGTCATGAATGTCTAGACCCGTAAACCATTGCAAACACAGCCCTTCGTATAAATAATGGCATTGGTACAGTGTAAGGGCCGAGGCCTGTTTACCAAGACCATGCATCACCGATGCATGGTTTACGGGTCTAGAAAAATAAACGTCATGCATGTCACGCATAGGCCTACAACATGAACTGGCATGTCGCCAAATCATGACTCTGTTCAATTTACCTTTTCCTGGCTACATTTTCAATTCGCTGATTAATTTGAGACAAGAACTCATGAGCAAATAATTATACACTATCTATAGCTCAAAGTGGGAGGTAATACTTCTTCAACGGACGGTTTCAGCACCAAGTCCGCGATGGAAACTCCGATCTAGGTTCTCCAGGGTAGTCAATGAACAGTCTGGTGACGCTTTTCAAATAATGAACAGAAACCATTGTTGGCGCTTGGGTCCCCATCATAAATCGACAATAACACTAAAAAAAGAGGATCAAAAGAGGGCGTTCTTTTATTTAGTACTGGGAAAAATCAAGCAGCCCTCACCAGGCATGCCAGGAATGGTAAGAGTGGGACAAGCGATTTGAATGCAGAAAGCTTCAAAGTTCAAACTGCCAGGCGTGCCTCTTGAAAGTGTGTGAATGACGCACTGTTCTTTCTTTTCATTTGGCAGGGGATATCCTTGGTCTGACCCAGTTTGTCTGTGGTTGCAGCCTTACGCGTGTACTTGCGGTGGGTTGTGCGAATTGAATTGATTATTTCCCCCATCATAGTCTTAGGTTGAATTCGGGCGGCTTGTTCTCGTATGTTCACTAAAAGCTCGATTTCGTTGTTCGTGGGTCGGCCGCTCGAACGCCGGGAACAAACAACCGGTTAGTTAGTTAGTTAGTTAGTTAGTTAGTTAGTTAGTTAGTTAGTTAGTGACAAGCAACATGCAACATGGCGGCGTCTATGTAGGCTACGTTATTCGCGAGTTAATGTTTGGATGGGCTGAATTCTTTTCTATATAAACAGGAACATTCATTTCTGTGTTACGGAAAATAAACAATTTTAATTTTGCAAAACTTCCCATTGTCGATGGCTTTGGAAGCCATCCCTTTACTTTTTGCAGCTGTTCAAAAATCAAAATCTCACGAGTTTTTTCC